GTATAGATAAAAATGACAAATAAAAGTTTGAAAAATCCAAAAGGGTTTTAAAATTCTATTCCTCAGGCTTTCCCAATTAATTGCACATTTCCTAAGCTGTTTAAATCACTTAACATTGCTAACTATGTTGTTACGATATCATAACAACAGAGGTATTTTTACAGGTTTGCCATATCTTCACTCTGGCTTGTCCCATCTTTACACTTCTATGTCTTTGCCTTGGACATTCCAACCAACAGCACCATAGCACTCAGCACGCGCCACCCAAAAATATTTACAAAATGAGATTCCTCGCTTCTTTTCCAGCGCACAATGGCCACCAAAATCTACGGATACCAATCCGTTGGACTATTGTGTCTGGAATATTTTGGAAAGCAAAGTTGGCACTAAAAGATACCAAAGTGTCGATCACCTCAAGCAAGCGCCTCGCCGGGAATGGGCCAAAATACCGCAGAACAACATTCGGGCAGCGTGTGATTTTGTTGGAATTGGCCATTTGAAGGCCATAATTCGTGCCAAAGGTGACCAATTCGAACAAATCTAAACTTATTCTAAATTTTGATGCTATTTCCGAAATTTTTTGCTTTCATTCAATAAAATTAAAAAAAAGTAAAAATTAGGGCGTTCGACTTTGTTACAGTTTTATTTTATCAGTATATGTCAATCACAATATCACATTTCGGGAATCTAACTCTATCCTCTCACCCAGTACACAATTTAATATCACTTAGTACTTTTCGAACAATTATAGTACACATTTCCTATACCTCTTCCATATCTTAATCGCAACATATCATATCTATATCAAAATTTTCAGAATTGAGTACCACTTAGTACTTTTCGTACAATAACAGTACACATTTCCAAAACTTCAGAGACCTCAATATCAAGTTTACGGGATTCCACCACAGTCCGTTCAATCAGTACCAAATTTAGTACTATTTAGTACTTTTGTAACAATTATTGTATATATTTCTCAAAACCACCTCCATATCTTAATTCCAAACACCAACAGAGAACTCAATATCAAATTTGAGAATTCCAGTCCTATCCCTTCACCCATACCAAATTTAGTACTTTTCGTAAAAATATAAGATGCATTTTCAGACCACCGCCAAATCTCAATCGCAGATACCGTCAGTAATCTCAATATCAAATTTCAGAAATGTATCCATATCGCCTCACCCAATACCAAATAGAGTACCATTCAGTACTTTTCATATACAGATGAAAAGTGATCCTAATACCAAAGCACTATCTGTTCAACCAATAACAAATTGTACCAAATATAGCACTATTTAGTACTTTTCGTGCACTTGTAGTACCAATTTCCAAAATCACCTCTATGTCACAAACCTACCACCATCATAGTCCTCAATAGAAAATATCAAAGTTTAAGTTTCATCTGTTCCAAATTTAGAACTACTTAGAACAAATCGTACACTTAGTACATATCCCCAAGACCAGCTTAATACATAAAACTTTTTTTCAACCTTGGTTTTCTTACAAAAAATTTTAACACTATTCGTTCACAAAATTCAAAAAGGTATCGTTCTACAACTTTTCGTAAACTTCAAGTTCGAATGTCCAAAAACCCTTTGGTACATCTATCGTGCACTCTATCAGTGACTATCATTCCAAATTCAGACTTCTAGCCAATTCGATTTGTCCAAAACAAAGTATTGAATTTTTAGTACATTTCAGTAGTTTTCGTACCATGACCCTCGTGAAATGAATAACAACCTTATAAGACTTTGAATATAACAACTCTCGATTTAAATAAAACCTCAACCCACTCCATTTGAAGGAAACAACATTCCCCTCCTTCGGGAACAGTCCTTATCTTTGTTTCACAATCATATGTGGATGAAAAGTAAAGCAAAGAAGAACTTTATTACTCATGTTTAATGTTGTTATTAATGTTGGTTACTGCTGTCATTTTGAGTTGTTAGTACTGTTGTCGTCGTTGCTGTTGTTGTTTGTACAACATGAAACATTAAAGTTCAGTTCCTGATAAACCTGATGATTATGACTACTTTCTTATGTACATGTGTATAGGCAAACACACACCCCCACACATATGGGGGAATGCGAGTGGTAATTTGCTTCTGGCATAACAACTTGTAGACCAACCCCAAAGACAATGCAGATAATAATCCAAAAGCGTCCAACCCCCCGAAAAAAAAAACAAACACAACCAAAGTGACTGACAAAAACAGATGTACAAAATGTCAAAAAATTATGAATAGAAATGATTTGAATGCAGGATGAACGAAAGGAATGCATTAGGATGAAAGGCATTTTTGTTTACGCAATAAACTAGTAACAGTTAGTTTAGGGTAGCAGTTAGTAGGGACGGAAATTATCTAAAATATTGTACTATACTATTAGCAAGGTTAGTGACTGTTGGCATATCAACGCCTAGATTAGATTTAACAAGTAAAAAAGCTGTAAGTTCGGCCGGGCCGAACTTTTAATATCCTCCACCATTTGGTACAAATTTGGCAAATTCCAAAAAAAAAAAAAATAAAATCCGTTAAAAATTCTGTTAAAATCTTAAAAATATCGAATGCTTATACGACGACGTGGGCCTGCATAGGCAACTTTTGTCATAAGTTTGTCATACAATATTTAAATGCGAAATTGAAGAAAAATCTGTTTATAATGTAGCTAAAATCATCAAAATACCGAATATGGAGGGTACCGTTATATTTGGGCTATACGAAGACGTGAACCTGCACAGACAATTTTCTGGCATTGGCTGAAGTATCCATATGACCTTTACATGCGAAATTTGAAACAATCCCGGTAAATAATGTCGCTGAAATCATCAAAATACCGAATATCGGGGGGGGGGGGGGGGGGGGGGGGTACGGTATATGGGGGCTATATGAAGACGCTGACCTATATGGCCCTTTTTCTGTTTTATGCTGCAGTATCTATTACGAACTTCAAATGCCAAATTTGGAACGATTCCGCTAAATAATGTCGCTAAAATCATCAAAATACCGAATAAAGGGGGGGGGGGGGGGTACCGTTATATGGGGGCTATACGAAGACGTGAACCTGCACAGACAATTTTCTGGCATGGGCTGAAGTATCCATTATGACCTTCACATGCGAAATTTGAAACAATCCCGGTAAATAATGTCGCTGAAATCATCAAAATACCGAATATCGGGGGGGGGGTACGGTATATGGGGGCTATATGAAGAATCTGACCTATATGGCCCTTTTTCTGTTATTTGTGCACCAAATGGCCAATATAAATGCAAATGACCTGAATGTTGGAACATCCAACCAAATTCAGTCTAGAAGCAAGTTCATAAAATTTGGTTAAAATCGGTTGAGATATAGCTATAGCTCCCATATATATGTTTCATACGATTTGTTGTTGAAGTCCACCATATTCGTAATATGCACTTCACTACAGTGATATTTGGTACCAGATATTTTATAGAGCTCGGAAATACCTTTGCCAAATTTTATCCAGATCGGCTAAGATTTGGATATATATATGCTTAGTCCGATTTCTGGTTTATTGTGGAAATAATAATATCAGCCCAAATGGAGTGCATTTAGGGACCTACGTTTCCATTTTTGTAGAACTCGGCTCTGGTATATATTTTTATACCCTCCACCATAGTATGTAGGGTATGTTAAGTTTGTCATTTCGTTTGCAACACCTCAAAATATACATTTTAGACCCCACAAAGTATATAAATTCTTGATCAGCATAAAATTCTATGTCGATTCAGCGATTTCCGTCCGTCTGTCCTTCTATCTGTCTGACAGTCTGTGGAAATAACTCTAGCTTCCGAACGAAATAAAGTAGGTTGATAACATCTTACTCAAATGTATATTATGTCTGCAAGACTTTTGGTATTGAAAATGGGCCGTGTAGGTCCACGTTTTGGTATAATGGTACCTCCCTATTTTCGGTATTTTGGTGATTTAAGCGACATTATTCACCGGAATTGTTGCAATTTTAGTATTTGAAATTCGTAATGGATACTTCATCCTGAGACAGAAAATTGTGTGTTATTAATTGGATATGCCTCCCATATATTAGTTCCCTCTGAAACCAAACTATAACTGCTCTAACGCTAAATGTTGATAAGCGGTATGATATACTTCAAATAAATTATTTTGTTACGGAAGCTCTGAGAAATATATTGGTGTAGGGTATCATATAGTCGGCCCTGCCCAACTTTTGACTTTTACTTACTGGTTTATTTGCTTTAAAGCATTCATATGAAGAATTTGTGAAATTTTTAGTTCTTTATAAATAGTTTTGCCTTATTAAATAGGCCTTGGCTAGGTCCCCATTTTGACTGTTAGGCGCCACTGTGTTCAGAACTTTCATCAAATTCTGCAGCCAATTTCAGACACGGATGATTTTTAACAGTTCCAGATTTATACAAACACAAAAATGTCCTCTCCACCATTTGACTTTATACATAACTACGCCCCTAACAATATACGAAACTTTTACAACTTTTTACACATCAAATCACCATGTCACAAGCTGCAGCATTCATGCATTCCACTGTCACGTACTGACGTGGCTAACAATGATGTATGCACAATGTACGCATCTGTGTAAGTGAACTGAGAGAGTGTTGGATTGGCTGTCCATTGATGATATTCTTTTGAGATTTATTTGAAAACACAGTAACAGCTGTTGTCTTTCGTCAACATTTTTCTGCAATAATTAAAACTGCAGTTGACTTCAAAATAGACACGTTTTGAAGAATCAGTTTTCCTTCAGGGGGGTGGTTAAAATCCATTTTTCAAAATTTATTTTTTTGTTTTTATTGACTTCAAAATCGACACGTTTTGAAGAATCAGTTTTCCTTAAATCCCATTTTTCAAAACTTCATGTTTTTTTTTTTTTTCTTAATTAAATATTATATAACTTTTCCATCAATAGTAGATTATGCAATCAATTTCATTTTGTTATCGCTCTTCCTTTTTCTTTTCATATTCCACTTCAACAGAATACTGTAGACAAACTTGTACAAAGAGCCAATGCATCTCTCGTGATTGGAACATCCTCATGGAAGGAACAATTTGTTGAAGCCCTCACAGTAAATCCCGGTAAGTAATAGAAGGAGATAACAAAAAACAGAAAGTGATAGGAGGAAAAAAGTCTTGAAAAAAGAAAAACTTTACAACTGTCATGGCCCTTCATTTAAAGTTTCTTTCTCTCTTTCTTTCAGGCGATGATGATGAAGGTGAAGAGGGTGAAGATGGTGTGGCTTCCACGCCATCATGTTTCGATTATGTGATGCATTTCTTAACATTATTCTGGAAACTATTATTTGCATTCATCCCACCAACAGGTAAAGAAAAATTATTTGATTTGATTTTTTTAGCTTAACCTTTAAAAATTAATCAAAAAAAAAAGGTTCCAAAGAAGATAATGAATTCTGAAAAAAAAAACTTTGAAGAGTTTAAGATGACTCCTTAAAGGACATCTTTCACCTAAGTTTTTAAGTTGTCTTTGTCTATTAATACCCCCTAAAAGAACTTCTAACTATAGAAGACCTATCAAAAGTCTTCTGTCCATAATGGACCTACCAAAGATCTGTTGCAAATAGAAGACCTGTCAAAAATCTTTCCACAAAAGACCTATCAAATATATTCTGTTCCTAGAAGACCATTCAAAGGACTTCCCTATAAAATGTCTTTCAAAGGCCTTCTGTCCATAAGGGAACTATCAAGGATCTTTAGCCCATTGAAAACCTGTCAATGTTCTCCTTTCCACAGAAGACCTATCAAATATGTTCTGTTCCTAGAAGACCATTCAAAGGACTTCTCTATAAAAGGTCTTTCAAAGGCCTTCTGTCCATAAGGGAACTATCAAGGATCTTTTGCCCATTGAAAACCTGTCAATGTTCTTCCGTCCATGGAAAACCTTTCAAAGGTAGTCTGTCTATAGAAGACCTTTAAAGAGCCTTCTATTCATAAAAAACCATTCAAATATCTTCTATCCAGAGCAGGCCTGCCAAAGATTTTCTTTTAATGGGGTTCTATCCATAGAAAAATCTTGTATACATAGAAGACCTTTCCAAGGTCTTTTGTCCATAAAGGACCTATCGAAGATATTTTGCCAATAGAAACCCTTCTGTCTATAGAAGACCTGTCATAGATCTTCTGCCCATAGAAAACCATTTAAAGGTATTCTGTCTATAGAAGGCATTTCAAAAGGTTATCTCCATGGAAGACCTGTCAAATGTCTTCTGCCCATAAACGAACTGTCAAAGATCCAGGTCTTCAGACCTGCCAAATGTATCCTATCTATAGAAGACCTTTAAAGGGTCTTTTGTCCATAGAAAACCATCCTATGGTCTTCAGTCCATAAAAGGTCTTTCAAAGGTCTTCAATTCATATAAGACCTGTCAAAGATCTTCTATCCATAAAAGACCCGTCAAAGATATTCTGTTCACAGAAGACACATCAAAAATGTTTTGTTAAAAAAGACCTATCAAAGGTTTTCTGTCCATAGAAGTCCTGTCAAAGGTCTATAGAAAACCATTGCATTGTCAGGAGGTCCTCTGCCTTAAAACTTCTTCTATCCAAAAATAACTTTCGTCCTCCCACAGTCTCCTTCTCTAGTGTATTGCAAAAAAGCATACTCCAACTTTTTGAAAAGTTCCAACCTCTTCGGAATAGCGTGCAGCTTTTACTTAACTTAACAAATTAAATTTCCATTATAAAATAAATGTTGTTATTTTCTCTCGTCACACACAAAAAAATACTAACCTGTTAAAAATTAAATTAAAACAAAAAAGAAAGTGAAAAAACAACAACTTCAGAGGCGAAAGTGCCACTTGAAAAACAAGAAAAACACAAACAACTCGAGGAAATATTTTCGCCATGGTGCCAACAATGACACCGAATCCATGCAGGGCAACAGCGGTACCAGCAGCAGTAGCAACAACAACAGGTGTTGTCATGTCAAAGTTATTTGCACATCCTCTCGTCCTGTCGCTGTTGTTGTTAATATTGGTTCCCTTCCTTACCCCCGTCCCTGTCCCTGTTCACTTTCACTTTGACTAACAACTTTTAAATGACTGCCGCAGGGCATGTTATGCGGTTAGCCACAATGTAAAAACAAAAACAAACAAAAACACGATAGAGTCTCACGATATTTTCCTATTTCGCTATCCTTTTATTTTTGAAGTTTTGTAATTTTCTATAACAACAACATCGATGGGTTTTACTATCTTTACTGCATTTTGATTAGCTTTGTGGGGGTATGATTCGAGTCCCATGGATTTATTAACAAAAAAAAAAGAGTGTTGAGGAGTATATTCGATTTTTTTGGACATTCGGATATTAAAAACGCAAAAAGGTTAAATCATTTTGAATCGTGTGTCATGTTTCAATTTTTTTATTCAATAATTTTTTATTTAACTTCAATATTTGTTTTTCTTTTTCATATTTTACCTACTTATTCATTTCTTACTCTTTACGTTTCAGATATTGCCGGCGGCTATCTGTGCTTCGTTGTGTCGATATTCTGCATTGGTGTAGTAACTGCCGTTATTGGTGATATTGCATCATATTTTGGTTGTACATTGGGCATCAAGGATGCCGTCACTGCCATTTGTTTTGTCGCTTTGGGTACAAGTATACCAGGTAAGTGGAAGTCACAACATTAACAACTACTATGAGTACTAAACATTTTTTAAAAGTAGTTGAAATTGGTTTATATATATCTCCCATATATCTCCAACAGATTTCGGTTTAATTGTGCACCAAACGTCCAATATAAGTCAAAATGGGCTGAATTTTGGCACATCCGACAAAATTCAGTCTACATTGGTTTTTTATATCACCACGACTCCCATATAATAAAAATTAAGCAAGTATACACCAAATATTATAAATTGCATTTATTGTGCACCAAATGGATAATATCAGCCAAAATCGACTCAATTTGGTGTAAATCGGTTCAGATATAGCTATAGCTCCCATTTATATGTTTTATCCGATTTGGTGTTTAAAGTCCCTCACACGCGTAATGGATTCGAAAACAATGATCTTTGGTACCAGATATCTTATAGATCTCAGAAATACGTCTGTTCAGATTTGGATATAGCTCCCATATATCTTCAACCGATTTCGGATTTATTCTGCCAAAAATTCGTAAATTTTGATACATCCGATCGAATTCAGTCTAGAAGAAAATGTATCTAATTTGGAGAAAATTGGATCGGATATAGCTATAACTCCCATATATTTGTTTCATCCGATTTGGTGTTTAATTTCCTCACATTCGTAATATGCATCTTATAGATCTCAGAAATACCTTTTCAAATTTTATCGAGAATAGCTTAGATTTGGATATAGCTCCCAAATATATATCCTTAATCCAATTTCAGGTTTATTGTGCAAAGAATGGTTAATATCAGTCTAACTGAAGTGAATCTCGGGATGTACGTTTCCATTTTGTGAAACTCGACTCCGATATGATAGATTAAAATGTCTCCGTCAAATTTAGTGAAAATCAATTCAGAATTAGATATGCCTCACAAAAATGATTTCCCTCTGAAACCAAACTATAACTGCTTTAAAGCCAAATGTTGGTAGGTGGTATGATCTACTTCAAATAAATTCTTTTGTTACGGGATCTTTACTAAATATGCATAGTGGTGTAGGGTATCATATAGTCGGCCCGACCGTCTTTTGAGGTTTCCTTACTGGTTTAGACATACGAAAGGTCATAAAGGTCCTCTAGGGAAACTCAAAAATTTTTTATTTATAGAATATACCTGTATTCTCTATTTATAGAAACCCTCTAAACTAAAAAAACTTTTTCGTTCATTTAGTTCACCTACTACTTACGTATTTTCTTTTACATCAGCCATATGGCTACAGAGGGTATATAACATTTAATACGGTCAAAACGTACCTCATCGAAATAATAGGTTCAGACCCTAGGTCTCTTTAGAACAAATCCTTTACGGGAAATTTGAAGTCGACCAAGGCGTGTCTGTTCGTTTGTATGACAGATTGGTGCGCACGATAACTCTCGAAGGGAGTATCTGATTAGGTCCAAACTTTGTATATCGTAATGTTATTGTAAAACTTAAATATAAAATAAAAGCCCTATTGTCAATCAGACTTTGATGTAGGGTATTAATTTGCCGGCAAAACCCACTTAGACATTTTAACTTTAACTTTTTAACTTGTCTAAATATTGGCGGCCCAAAGAGGTATTAACTTAGGTATTACCATCTGACGCACAAAAACTGCCAGATATGAATTTTGAATTTTTCCAGGAACTCCATATATCAGTATCCCGATTCAAGATTTTGCATCAATATCTGAGTTCTCAACTTTATGTTACTTTTCTATTTTGTCAAACACTGGAGTCCAATCAAGAACTCTGGGTTAATAATATATGGCGCGAAAGGCGTTTGCTCAAAGGATAAAATTCGGAACCAATGTCTCCATTTCAGTATCCCAATTTTGTTTCGAATTATTTCTTAGATAAAAGGCGCCCAATGTAAGGCTTTGATTTAATAATCAATATTTGGCTCCCAATCATAAAACCCTGTAAATATTTTGACTAATTTTCGATTTTCATAGGATATTACAATAAAGTTCTTTCTAACATTGTCACCAAATTCTGAGCATGGTACATCCTAGACACCAACAGTGATTCAAAATTAATACTATTTGCAAAACCAACGCCAGGTACCAACAGAGATCTGAATATAAACACCAACACCAAATTTAGTACTATTTAGTACTTTTGGCACAATGATGGTATGCATTTCCAAAAATACCTTCATATCTCAATTCCAGATACCAACAGAGATCTCGATAACAAATTTCAGGATTCTCCACCTCTACTCCTTTACCCAATACCAAATTTAGTGATATTTAGTACTTTTCGTACAATTATAGTACACATTTCCGAAACCATCTCCATATGTCCAGGCTACACAAATGAACCTCGACCCTAATACCAAATTTCAGACTTCTAGCGCTATCTGTTCACCCAATACCAATTGTACCAAATATAGTACTATTTAGTTCTTTTCATGCACTTGTAGTTCACATTTCCAAAAACGCATCTTTACCACGTAGCTACCACCAATAGGGATTCTAATAAAAAATATCAAACCTAGTATGTTTTGGACATTTAGTGCATAATTCCAACAACGCCTACATACACCAAACTTACTTTCCAACCTTCATTCTCATATTAAAATTTCACGCTTTTTTTGTCGTTTCATCTGAGCCTTGATTCTAGGTCAGTCAGATAGTTATCTCACTACTTTTTTATGTATATAGGTTTGTAGTTCTTTTTGTAACTGCTCTAAACAATTGCATTAAACTTAAAAAAGTTCATTTTTTCTTGATCAGCGCTAAATTCTAAGTCGACTTCACGTGGTCCGTCCTTCTTTGAAATAAAAATGTAGGTCTCAATTCTCATATATTACACCTAAGATATTTGTGAATTTAAAATAGGCTATATTATTTCACAATTAGGTATGGTCTCTATATAAAGGTACTTCCTGATTCCAAGCATTTTATCCTAATTTCCAGCCATATTTAAACTACACGCTAAAAATATTTAATGTGCAGGGTGAGATAAAAAACTACAACAAAGTCAAACGCCATAATTTTTACTTTTTACATATTTTCGAATGAAAGTAAAAAAAGTCTAAAATAGCTTCAAATTTTAGAATAAGATTTGATTTGTTCGAATTGGTCACCTTGCTTGAGGTGATCGGTATTTTTTGGTGCCAACCTTGCATTCCAAAATACCCCAGACACAATAGTCCAATGGACTGGTATGCGGAGATTTTTATGGCCATTGACCGCTGGAAATGAAGCGAGGAACCTCATTTTGTAACCATTTTTTGGGTGGCGCGTGCTGAGTGCGATGTGCTGAGTCCTGTTGCAATATCCAAGGTCTGTGGTCAAAATGTTTGCGTGCCCAAGGCTTTAATACACCCTCTAGAATATTTTCGCATTAATATTCGGCATTTATTCTGATGTCACCGTCGATTAATACGAGCGGAGAGCGACCAGCGGTTGTTATTGCGGCCCACACCATCAGCATGGCCAGCACTTGAGTTCTGGTGGCCAACCGAAGGTGCACATTTTCAGTTGACCTCTTTGGCAAGTAAATACGATCATTTTGTTTGTTTACAAACTGCTGGACAACGAATGTTTTCTCATCGGAGAAAAAAAAATCGACAGTTTACCACTTTCGGCCAAGCGAAGCAACTCTTTAGCTCTTTTGAGTCTATTTTCTTCCCGTTGCGGTGTAAGTTCTTGCACTTTTTGGAATTTCAATGGCTTTACTCTGAGCTCGTTTTTCAATATTTGCCGAATGGAATATTACGATATGTTCAGCTCACGAGCCATTTTTCGGCCACTGCGATGCGGGTTTCGATCAAGTCGCTTCTTTACTTTTCGAACCATTTCTGCTAATGTTGCTGTTTTCTTCCATCCACTTCCGTGACATCGGTCTACGCTACCAGTATCACGGTAATAAGCTATGGTACGAGATACAAAAGATTTATTCACATTTAAATGCTGGGGTGCTCTAACAATAGCCACTTCTGGTTTCCAGCCAAATATAAAGAAATCACACTATCACGCTTGAATTCCGTCACGAATAACTTTTTTCTGGAAAGTGCTCACCAAAATGCTTTTGTACGCTTGTAAACAATACAATGAGCTGTCACAGGAATCATTTTAACAGCTGTCGGAAGATTGACTTAGAAATGACAGAAGTTGGTTTCAGTTTTTTCATATCACCCTGTATGTGATATGAAAAAACAAAATTTCAAAATTTTCAACCAAATGAACATTTTGTACATTTTTACATTTTAGCCTATTTTTAAGGTTTCGTGCTAATTTTAAAATTTCCAAATCAACTGTCATTTGTTATTCCGGGTTTTCAAGGGGTAGTTTCATGTCTTCCAATAAAATGTTTAATATAGGAGCAGCCCACATACAACAAACATTTTTAGAGATTTTAAGGATGAAATATTTGATATGTTCGGTAAATCCAAACCTAACTCGGGTTTTCTTGGTTTGATTAATGTGGTCTAAAACTAAAAAAAACTAAATAGCGTAAATTTTAGATAAAAGTCTACCGATGAGATTAAAAGTTTTTCAAATTATCGAAATGTCCTACGCCTTGTATCTGTATATATATACTACCAAACTAGATACCTCCGGTTTATAATTTTAACCATACCAAATGACCGTACCCCCGTCATTTAAAATAAATAAAATATTATTTAACAATTTCTTAATCTTTTTTGTTTTCCAGATACTTTTGCCAGTAAAGTCGCTGCCATCCAAGATAAATATGCCGACGCCAGTGTGGGCAATGTAACCGGTAGTAATGCTGTCAATGTCTTCCTTGGTATTGGTGTTGCGTGGTCTCTGGCCGCCATTGTGCACGAGGCCAAGGGCACCGTCTATGCAGTGGAACCGGGAACGTAAGTACTTGCAACAAAATATCCAATTTCTATCAACCACAGTTATTAATGAAATTTACTTTTTGTTTTTCTGTCGTTCTACAGCATTGCCTTTTCGGTGACACTCTTCTGTACAGAGGCATTAATTGCCATTTTAATACTCATGCTGAGGCGTAGTAAAAAAGTGGGTGGCGAATTGGGTGGTCCCAAGAAAATCAAATACATTAGCAGTGGTATTATGTTCAGTTTATGGGTTATCTATTTGCTGGTCAGTACTCTGGAAGCATATGGTGTTATCAAGGGATTCTAAGCGAGCAGGCCAGAAATCCAGCAGACTTCCAAAAAATAAATTTTTCACAAATAATACACACATACAGTTACATCTATACACATACACACATATACAGATACCGATGTACACAAAATGTCTACTAAATCTTCAATACAACAAACAAAACAGAAAAAGCTGAAGAAGTAGAAGCAATTTTCAAAAAAAAAAGTGATGGCCATTTAACAAGAGGATATAAACAACCACATTAAACAACTACAAAACTAGAACAGCATTACTATTTGTAAACAACAAGAACAACAAAACCTTTTTTATATTTCACTACTACTACCTATCTATCTATCTTACTATCAATCTATCTTTCAATCAATCTACATACCTACATATGTATACAAAAAACATACAAACATTTCACTACTACTACAACAACAACTTGAACTATAACTGCAACTATTGTTATAATATTTAGAACAAGAAAAACAGGAAATAAATGTAGAAGAAGAAAATGAAAATGAAAAAGGATGAAGCAGGAAAAACCAAAAAATTTAGATCATGAAAGACGCCAATATAAGCCCTAATTTATTTAGACTTACTCTACTGCTACTACAACTACACTTAATGTTAGATCGACCTTAAAACCAAAATCTAGTAACGAAAGAGAGGGAACCAAAGATAATTACTTTGTTGCTGGTGCTAGCATAACCCAGCAAACAAATCTCTTTTAAGAAAAGCCAAAAAATCGAAAAAAATAAGTTTGGAAAAACTAAAAACAAATCTACAGAAATGCATGAATGGATCTTTGTACAGGACTATGTCTCTCTGTCTGTTTTTTTTTTTAATGAAGAAAAAAATGGAAACCAAACAGAATATCTTATTCCGTTTGGTCCACTTCAGTCCAGTCAATGTTAGTTTAACTAGCTAATATAACCTAAAAAACAGTAAAAAATTATGTAAACAACAAAGTAAATCAAGCAACATTTAATGCAACTAAGTACTTTAATGCAAAAATACCTAAGGAAAAAACATAAATGTTAAATCTTAAACTTACGATTATTATAAGCGAACATCCCCCTGCCCCCTTTTCCCCAAAAAAATTGTGCAAATTATATTATTTGCCTTAGGAAAAAAACTCCCAAAGAAATGGCGAAGAAACAAAAATATATTCCTTTTTCTACAAATATATTGGTAAACTCCCAAAAGTATGCTTCAATTTAGGTGTAATTTTCTAAATGTTCTTTGATTTGTCAATTGCTTTCTCTCCCTCTCTCGGTCTGTTGTTTGTTTCAGCAACAGGGGGTCCCATTTTTCCTCTCTCAGTCAACTGGCAGCAAGTTCATTCGTGTGGTATATTGCTATGTTTACATCGAAACCCTTTATTGCAGTTGTCTGCTCTATAGATCATGATAAATGTATCAAATGTAAACGTAGTTTGAGACCAAAGATCACCATATTGTGGTTGCGTCCATAATCCATGGCAGAAGAATACAGGTAGATGCATCAACGATTGGGAGCATTGATATGTCAAAAAATTTAAATGTTTTTTCAACTACAAGTAGATTTTTATATGTTTTCTTATACGACGTAATTCGAAGGTTATTATAATTCGCGTTTTTCAATAATATTTACAAATTTAAATAATTTTTCATTCAACATTTTCAATTCCAAAAATTGGTTTGACAGTTCATTGTCCCAGCACCTGTGTCGATGCGTCTACCTATATTCTTCTACCATGCCATAATCATTAAATAATTCGATAAATTTTTAGTATCTCTAAAATTAATTCTTTTAAAAATATATTAAAATTCAATAACCAGTATAATGATTTTAAATTAAAATGCAATTTTAAATTTAAATCTGTTATAACAATATCGGAAACCAAATCGATAAAAAAAACCTATTATGGAACTGATATATTTGAAAAACATGTAAAAATCAGAAAATTAACCGATTTTTTCTATTAGTAATGCCAAATGAATGCCGATGTATATCTGTAATTTTTAATCGATTGAGAAAAAAATGTTTTCTATTTCTGATAAAAGGAAAAAGATGTTTTTAGGATTAATTACAGCCAAATAGATACAAATGACTTTCGATATTGATGCAAGGATTAAAAAAAAATATATAATTTTGTATACAATTTTGACAAATTTAAAAGTAAAAGTCATTTGAGTTTCTGGAAGATTTGCTACGTAAAACATTTGAAATTTCGATCATTTTCGAAAAGACGCACTTGTGTTCATAGAGTTTAAACCGATTTCTGATCAATTTAAAGCACTCATAGAATGAAAACAAATCACATAATGCGTGTTATCGAAAATTATCAAAATGAGATTTAGTCGTTTTTTCAAACTTTTGGAGGCAAAATTTGAATTACACTTTTGAGTTTGTGGAAGTTAGGTACATAAAAACACAAAAAAAGACTAAATTTTCATTTCGATTACTTTCGACAAAGCGCATATTGTGATCGAAGAGTTGAAACATTAAAAAAAAAATGTCGGTTACTTCAAAAATCTATTTGCATTTTTCAGAAATAATCAAACAGTGGAAAAAGAAGATTTGGATCTCCTTTTTCAAATTGAAAAATATGAAACTTTTTAGAATAAATAAGTTGATGGAAATTCCTCGAATTTTTGCAAATAACAGCAGTAGTTATTACATAATTTGGATTACAGTTTGTATACATAATAATAACGAAAATTTGCAATGTTATCGAAATATATCGAGACGAAAACAGGGCTGTTTAGAGATTCAGAAATATGAATAAAAAAATCTTAATCTTTTCTGCACATGGTTATCGATAGTGTAATGTATTATCGATAAAACAGTGTAAAAAATAATTCCAGCTTCCATATTGAGTTTGTTGTGCAGTTAAAAACACTTTATCGATGGAATATATCCATCGATAACATGTGTTATCGTATTTAAAATAATTTTTGTATGTTATTTTAGAAGAGAATTATTAAAAAAAAGGTAAATACATCGTTAAACATAAAACAAATTTATCGAAAACATTTTGAGAATATTTTTTTTTTTTAATTTGAATAATGGATTTTAACAATTTTGTTTCATTCGAAGCATCCAGCGATTGAGAGAGCTAGAGGAAATAACCCCTCTTTTTTGTCCATGATCCATTGTTTTATAAAAAAAAATATTATTGTGAATAGTATAAAAAAATATATAAATTTTTGTAGCCATCGAAGAATTAACAACAAATATTAAGCAACCATAAACGCCAAGAATTTAAAAAATTGTTTTATTTTAAGATTTTATCCTTTTAAGATATTTCCGTTGCAAAGGTGTATTATCGAAAATCAAACACTTTAATTTAATTTAAAAAGAAATACTTAAAATTTAATTATTTATTATAAAAAAACAACAACATAAATCCCAAAAACCTTTTCCCCAAGAGAAGGACATAAGTCAGAATTTATTACTTCATGAAAATACAAAAAAAAAACTAGGAAATTTATAAAAAAAATCTTAATATTATTTAAAAACCAATTATTAAATTTAAAACATTTACTATTTAAGTTATAGCAAATTAAAAGAAAAAATGTTTTGTTTTTTGTAATTTATCAAAAAGGAAATTGTTCTTAGTTTTACAACAACAACAAAAACGAAAAACCAAAACTTATTTATATAGTTTATGTTTGTTTTTTCCTTTAATGCCATAATTTTAAGTTTTATTTTTTTTCTTTGTTTGCTTTGTCTTCTTTTCTTTTTCTTTGTAAAAATAAATAAATCTTTAAATTTTTAAATAGAAACAGAAATACATTGTAAGATTTAAGTTTTTCTTTCCATATATTGTTGTATCTTATTTATGTCTTTTGTTTTAAAATTTTGTAATCATTTGTTTATTTTTTTTATTTATACTATAGTGTTTGTTTAATTTTTTTGTTAATAAAGAAATAAAGTAAAAAAAAATTAAGAAAAGAAATATACAAAAATTGTATTGAGCTTCAAAGGACCGGTAACATTATCAAAAAAAACTTGTAATTATGAAAAATATTCCTATATCACAAATAGCATATTTTACTTTCAATAAAAAATGAGGTATTATATGCCGAACTTTTTGTACCCTCCCCCTTTTGGAAGGAACTTGCAAAAAGAAAAAAGATTCCTTTAAAAAATTACGTCATAATTTCAAAAAATTCCGAATGTCATGTGTTGCGTTTATTTGGGTCTATACGAATACGTAGACCTTTGAGCCAAATATATGCCAGAGAAGGAGGAGGTTTTACGAATTCCAGACACCAAACATAATTCGGTTGAAAAATGCAGCCAAAACCATCTAGATATTGAATAATGGGAGGTACCGTTATATGAGGGCTATACGAAGACGTGGAATTGCACAGTCAATTTTCAGTCAGTGGAGGTAGTATACATTACGAATTTCAAGTATCAAATTTGATACAATTCCGGTGAAAATGTGACACAAATGAAGAAAATATCGCATACTGGGGGTACAGTTATATGAGGACTATAACTAAACTTAGATCTATATGAACAGTTCTTTGCACAGATGTTTCTTACATATATGGAAGGCAAACGGCCAACTTACAGAAAATTCTCTTGAACAGAATTTATAACTTAAACAGTAAAAACACTATAAATCTGGTTTTATATGGGGGCTGTATCAAAATGTGACCCATTATCAGCACAGATCTAAAATGCATCTCAGCATAATTTTATCAACTTACTTCATTTCGTTCGGAAGCTAGAGTGATTTCCACATACGGACAGACATGGCTAAATCGACATAGAATCTTATGCTGATCAAGAACCCTTGTGAGGTCTAAAATGCTTATTTCGAGGAGTTATAAACGGAATGACGGCAGCCCACATGGCAAAATAATACAAGGTTATCTCATGCCAACATATGATATACAATTTTTTTAAAAAGAATTTTTCTAATCAAAAGCCAACGACAGTATTTTTTAATTTTACGAAAAATATGCCATTTGTCTTGCATAAATAAGTTTGAAATTAATATTAAAATTATTTTGAAACAAGTTACAAAGTATCGGTTTTGCCGCCAACTATGTCATGAACTTTTGACGGAGAGAAACCAGAAAGAGTGTACCGAATAACGAACGAAAACAAACGATACGATTTCAATCCTTTTGAACTCCAAACAATACGAAAACACTAAAATGTCAATGACAGAAGTACACAAACGATACGATTGCCTTAATGTACTTCGGCTGTGAGTTAGCGAGCGGATCGTTTGCTGAGAATGAACCCTATTGAAATTGGTGATTATCGGATCAGATATAGATATAGCTCCCATATATCTTCAACCGATATCGAGTTAATTGTGCACCAAATGGCCAATATAAGTCCTATAGACCTGAATTTTGGTACATCCCACCAAATTCAGCCTAGAAGCAAGTAAATCAAATTTGGAGAAAATCGGTTCAGATATAGCTATAGCCCCCATATATATGTTTCATCCGATTTGGGTTTTAATTCCCTCACATGCGTAATATGAACTCCACAAGAATGATATTTGGTACCGGACATCAGATACTGCTCGAAAATACATCTGTCAAATTCTATCGAGATCGGTTCAGATTAGGATATAGCTCCTATAAATGTCTTTATCAGGTTTATTGTGCACCAAATGTCTAATATCAGCCCAAATGGACTGAAATTTGGCATATCCAACCGAATTCAGTTCAGAAGCAAGTGCATTAAATTTGTGAAAATCGATTGAGATATAGCTATAGCTCCCATATATATCTTTCATCCGATTTGGTGTTTAAGTCCCTCACATTCGTAATATGCATTCGACAACAATGACATTTGGTACCAGATATCGTATAGAGCACAGAAATACCTTTGTCAAATTTTATCGAGTGCGGCTTAGATTTGGATGTAGCTCCCATGTATATCGTTAATCCGATTTCAGATTTATTATGCAGATAATGGCTAATATCAGCCAAAATGGGGTGAATTTCGTATATATATTTTTATTTATTCAATATATATTTTTTTATATTTTTAATATAATCCTTCTCGAAGTGATGTTATTTGCCCGATTTTTTACTTTTCCTTACTGGTTTACTTTGTATGATGGCAAAATAAATGAATAAAAAGGAATATTTTTAACTTTTAATTAGTGTGTACATTATTTTTAATCAGTTAATATACTGGGAAACGTTTGCAAACATTTGCAATGAGTATTGTACTGTTTCGTTTCCAATGTTGCGTCATCCAGCAGAGTACATTCCAGTTCTGTTTTTGTTTCCTCTCATCTACACAAACAGTACAAAATGTTTCGTTTCGTACTTCGAGAAAATACAGAAGGAAACGATTGCAAACGTTTCCAATAGTTTATTTTCGTTCGCTTTTACCAACAAATCCCATATTTTCATGGGATCTATGGTTGATAGAAATATTGAGATACACGAAGTTTGACGGAAATCTCTGACCTGTTTCGAATGTAATGAGACATATAATTATTAAACATTTTGACGCCTTGTATCATTAGATATCAGAAAAAGTGGTCCAATAAATCCCACATTCACAACAGATTTTATGTTGGTAAAAATATTGGGGTGTGCCAAGTTTGAAAAGTATCGGATGTTAATTGTGCATTTTATGAGGGTGATTGGTATTCAAAATTTTGATCCGTTGTGGGGGAGGTACCAGAGGGAATGGTTTAATCTATTGCATTTTCATACATATAATTGGGCGAGATATTGGGATATAGAAAATTGTGTATCACATTTTATAAGCGTTTCCTTTATATCAAATATTAACCCATTGTGAAGGAGGCACCAGAAGGAGTGGTCCGATTTATCCCATCTTCATTCCAGACCTAGGGTTGTCAGAAATATTCGGACAAGCGACATTTGAAGAGGTACTAGAAGGAGTAAACAATTATTGTCCATTTAAGCACCTTACCTAGCACTGATACAAATACTATGATTTGCAAAGTTTGAACGAAATCGAATCAATTATTTTCTTGAGAAGTTTGGGAGGTACCAGAAGGAGTGGACCGACATTGCCCATCTCCGAACTCGATCTAGGTTTGCTTATTAATATTAAAATGATATGAAAATGGAAGATGAGTTATAATATAAACAAGTAAAAAAATTAAGTTCGACCGGGCCAATTTCTTAATACCCTCCACCTTAGGGCAAAGGAAACGTTAGAACCCATTGTGTCCCACAAATACCAGTTTTTAGACATATTCGTGGGAAAATGTCGAAAAATCATCAAAATATTGAATATCTGAAGGTACCCCTATATGGGACTATACAAAAACGTGAACCTATACATATAATATTTCGGCAACGGAGATGGAACCCATTAGGACACAAAAATACCAATTTTTAGACAAATCCGCAAAGAAATGTGATCAAAATATCGCATATCGGGAGGTACCATTATATAGGGACTATACCAAATCGTGGACCTATACATGCAATCTTTTGTCACCGGAGCTACAACCCATTATGACCAACAAATAGCAATTTTTACGACGAATATTTAGGGATGTTACAAACGGAATGACAAAGTTAATATATCCTCCTTTCCAAGGTGGAGGGTATAAAAAGTGTTGCCATTACCGCGTTGGCAAATGAAATTATCTTGTTTATTTTGATTTTACAACTGAAACACATTCTCACAATAAATTGTAAATATAAATACAGTACTAGGAATGGCCCCCATATAAAAGTGTCCACCAATTGTTTAAAAGGTACTGCCCAGTGAACCAAGTGTCGGACATACGATACATTTGCTCAAGTCGGAAGTTTTTCCGACGAATGTACGAATCCTGCTAATATATCGGAGGATATTTTTTCTTGTTGATGTAAACAAGCAAAGAGAAAATAAATGGAGTGAATTTCTTTCTCCTTGAGAGGTTTTTTGTGCTTACATATTGTGGATGAAATTGTGGTCGGGCCGTTGCGTTCGCCAATTAGTGTTGAAAGGTAGTTGAAGGTTAACGATTAATATGGGGGCTAAACAACGATGAAGACCTGCATAAGTAATTTTTTGTCATAGACTGTAGTACCGATTCCGAACTTCAAATACGAAATTTAAAATAATACTGGTGATAATGTCGCGAATATGTCAAAATCGTTCCGACAGGTCTAATTTCCATTCCGAATTCCTTATGGGTATCCAATCCATGGTCGGATTTCGGTTCAAAAGTATGCTAAAACTCCGGACTTTCATCCGACCCTTTGGTCCAACAACACGTCAACCACTCCATATAACTTTCGGTCAGAAGTCGAACCGAATTAGTATCCGAAATTGGAAGTTTCTTTCGGGTCGAAGTCGGCCGAACTCGGACAATTTGGTACGCTGGGTAGTCACGTTTTTAAACTGAATGGGACTTTTTTTTGTCTTTGGGTTCGTACAGTATTAACATATCTTGGCATATCAACCACATAACGCCATACCCAAGAAATATAAGAGATTTCAAAAATATCCGATTCGGTTATAATTTGAGTTTTAACAAGGCCAACAGTATAAAAATATCGATTTTTTATTCATTTTACAAAAAAGTTTTGTCTTTAATTTTAATAAATAATTTTCAATTTAATTTTTAAAATAATTTTTACTTTTAATAGATATTTTTCATTTCCAATTTTAGTTGTTGTTTCAATACTTTCTTTAGCAACGAAATGGGGTTTTATATATTTTGCCTTATGTCCATGGCTAAGCAGAAACCCGTTACTTGTTATGGTCAAAAGACTTTAACAAAACGCAATGTGTTTTTAGTTTGTTTTTTTTTATTAAAATAAACATATGAAAAACAACAACAATAAAACAAAAAATGAAAATATTTTTTTATAAATTAAAAATAAGCTAAAAACCAAAATAAATGAATTTTTAATTGTTAACAAAAAATAAATAATGATTGTTGATTATTGCATTAAAAGAATGAAATATAAAATATAAAATAAATTGCAAAATTATTATAAAAAAGAAATTGTTAAGTTTTATTTTTGTGTTTTTAAAGTAAATATTTTTTCAAAAAAAAAAAAAAAACAGATTCGAAAAACTACTTTTATTAATAACTAAATATATAGATATTTAAAATAAATCGTATATGTATAGCAACAACATTAATTTCCCCTTCCTCTCTACCCCGAGAAGAATATAAACAAATTATTAACCGTTCACAGTCCACTCAATTGTAAACTTCATAACAAACCAAAAAAGAACTGCATTGTTATTTAGATAAACATTTTATTAAATAATTAAACAATAACGTCTTATAAAATGTACGACGCTCTATGTAATATATTAAGTACAATTGAATTGTTCTGTTATGTGATGTGATGTGTTTTTTTTTTATTTTGGGTTGACAGTTTTTTTTTTAATATATTTACATATTTTTTAATTTAAAATAATAAAACTTAACAAATACCCTTTAAGCGCGAAGTCGAATTACAACCCTAAAAAGGCCTAAGAACAAGAGAGCCCAATGCGAGCAAATCCCATGCTAAAATGATTTATTTGTAAAGAAAAAACTTCCATGACAAAATGTTGAAAAAAAATAAATATTGAGAGAAAATAAAAACAAAAACATGAAAAACAATAATTTTTAAACATAATAAATTATAAAACAAACAATAAAAAGTATGTTTTTTTTCTTATTAAATGCACTAGTTTTTGAGGGGTCCTTTAAATGAATAGATGGCAGTGGACGGGAGAAAACAGCAACATCAAAAGAAATGGTTCGAAAAGTAAAGAAGCGACTTGATCGTCGCAGTGGCCGAAAAATGGCTCGTGAGCTGAACATACCGCAATATTCCATTCGACAAATGTTGAAAAATGAGCTCGGGGTAAAGTCATTGAAAAAGTGGAAGAACTTACACCTCAACAGAAAAAACCAGTAAAGAAAGTCTTAAAGTCGGGCGGGGCCGACTTTATGATACCCTACACCACTTTGCTAATTTAGTAGAGCTCCACATAACAATTAAAAGTTTTTTATGTTTGAAATTGGATAAAAATATATATGGGAGCTATTGGAACCGATCTCGATAAAATTTGGCAAAGATATATCTGAGCTGTATTTGATATATTTCCCTGAATATCGTTGTTACGAAGTGCATATTACGGCTGTGGGTAACAAATATAACAAATCGGATGAACAGTATATATGGGAGCTATAGCTATATCTGAACCGATCTTTACCAAATTTGACATACTAGCTTCTAGATTCAATTCGGTCGTAAGTGCCAAATTCCATCCCATTTGGGCAAATATTAGACAGTTTTAGTTTGGTGCACAATGAAAGGTAAATCGGACGAAGTTATATATGGGAGCTATATCCAAATCTGAACCGATCTCGATAAAATTTAGCAAATGTATTTCTGAGCTGTATTTAATATATTTCCCCAAATATTGTTGTTACTGAGTGCATATTACGGCTGCGGAGGACAAAAATAACAAATCGGATGAACAATATATATGGGAACTATAGCTATATCTTAACCGATTTCGATAAAATTTGGTATACTTATATTTAGGCCTAATTTGGGTGTATATGCAAAATTCCATACTATTTGGGCTGATATTACACGTTTGGTGCACAATAAAAGGCAAATCGGACGAAGATATATAAGGGAGCTATATCTAAATGTTGACCGATTATCTCCAATTTCAATAGGGTTCGTCCTTGGGCCAAGCAAATGATCTGTGCAAATTTTCATCTGGATCGGGCAATAAATGCGACCTGTACTTTGTTTACAAAAATACATAGACAGACGGACAGACGGACGGACGGACATGCATAAAACGATTCAACGATTCAGAATGTGATTCTATGCAGATCTTCAAAAGGAACTATGGGTCTATCTCGTTTCCTTTTGCCTGTTACAAACAAATGCACAAAGACCACCTTGTGGCGTAGGGTTTAAAAATGGACTTAAAAGAGCTAAAGAGTTGCTTCGCTTGGCCGAAAGTGGTGAACTGCCGAATTTGGTTTTCTCCGATGAGAAAACATTCGATGTCCAGAAGTTTGTAAACAAACAAAATGATTGTGTTTACTTGCCAAAGAGGTCAGCTGAAAATGTGCACCTTCGGTTGGCCACCAGAACACAAGCGCGATGGTGTGGGCCGCCATAACAGCCGATGGTCGCTCTCCACTCGAATTAATCGACCATGTCATCAGAATAAATGCCGAATATTATCGCGAAAATATTCTGGAGTGTGATTTAAAGCCTTGGGCACGCAAACATTTTGGCCGCAGACCTTGGACAGTCCAACAGGACTCAGCACGCGCCACCCAAGAATGGTTACAAAATTAGGTTCCTCGCTTCATTTCTAGAGCACAATGGCCACAAAAATCTCCCGATGCCAATCCGTTGGACTATTGTGTCTGGAGTATTTTGGAAAGCAAGGTTGACACTAAAAAATACCAAAGTGTCGATCACCTCAAGCAAGCGCTTCGCCGGGAATGAAAAATACCGCAGAGCAAGATTCGGGCACCGTGTAAGGGTTTCATTGGCCGTCGAAGGCCATAATTCGTGCCAAAGGTAACCAATTCGAACAAATCTAATCTTAGTCTAAAATTTGATGCTATTTCCGACATTTTCTGCTTTCATTCAATAAAATTTAAAAAAAAAAAATGTAAAAATTATGACGTTTTACTTTGTTGCAGTTTTTTTTATCTCACCTTGTATATCAGTAAAAGGCTCTTATGCAGAGTTTCATTTCTCGCAGTTTGTTTGAAGTTGATCTTCCGTTTTGGTTGTGCACATGTTCGCCATCCATCTGTAATGTTTAATTATTTTGTATTTAAAACAAGACAAAAACCCACCTATTATTTTACACTTAATAATCAAAACGTTACGCATTCTACGCTCGTTTTCTTCCTCTTCTAATGACAATGAAGATTACTTCTATTTACCCTTCTTTTGCCGCCTTCATTAGGACGTTGACAGTTGTTTGTTTGTTGCCCAGCTGTCAATCAATGATGGATGGACGGATGAGCGATTTCAACCAGCATCCATAATATGGATCACTGGTGCGATGGCTGATGTAATCTTATGGGGAATTACGGTAGATTCAAAGTAATCATTTTGTCATTGAACGGGTATTTTGATCTTTTTTTGAAAAAACAAGTAAAAAAACATTAAGTTCGGCCGGGCCAAACTTTTAATACCCTCCACCTTAGGGTAAAGGAAACATTAGAAGAAATGTGGCAAAAACCATTAAAATGCCGAATATCGGGAGGTACCGATATATGTGGGCTCTACCAAATCGTGGACCTACACATGTAAGGTTCCGCCAACGGAGCTAGAACCCATTATGACCTACAAATACCAATTTTTAGACAAATACGTGAAAAAAAGGGGCAAAAATCATCAAATTACCGAATATCGGGAGGTACCGTTATATGGGGGCTATACCAAAACGTGGACCTATAATTACAATGACTCGCCACACGAACTGGGACCCATTATGATCTACAACTACCAAATTTTCAGTGAAATTCGTGAAAAAATCAGTCAAAAATCATCAAAATACCGAATATTGGGAGCTACCGTTATATGGGGACTATACCAAAACGTGGACCTATACATACAATGTTTCGCCACACGAACTAGGACCCATTATGACTCACAAATACCAATTTTTACACAAATCATTGAAAAAATGTTGCAAAAACCATCAAAATACCGAATATCGGGAGGTACCGTTATATGGGGGCTATACCAAATCATGGACCCATACATGCAATGTTTCGCCACCGGAGCTGGAACTCATTATGACCAACAAATACCAATTTTTAGACAAATCCGTTAAAAACTGTGGCAAAAATAATCAAAATATCGAATATCGGGAGGTACCATTATATGAAGGCTATACCAAAACGTGGACCTATACATGCTATGTTTTGCCACACATACAGGGACCCGTTATGACCTACAAATACCAATTTTCAGACAAATCCGTTAAATAATGTGGCATAAATCATCAAAATACCGAATATCGGGAGGTACCGTTATATGGAGACTATACCAGAACGTGGACCGATATATCTTATTTTCAATACCAACCATCCTAGACACAATACCAATTGCTCTGCTAAATTTTGGCGCTCTACGTCAAATAATGTGGGCTGTATTGTGATTTCAACAGACAGACACACAGACGGACAGACAGACGGACATCGTTAAATCGACTTAGAATTTTATGCTGATTATGAATATATATACTTTATGGGGTCTACGACGAATATTTAAGGATGTTACAAACGGAATGACAAAGTTAATATACCCTCCTTTCCAAGGTGGAGGGTATAAAAATATTCTAGTTTCCGATTATAAATGATTAAAGTTTTCTTTAGTTCGGGAATTCCAAAAAAAAATTATTTATTTATTTAATTTATTATTATTTTTTTTGATAATTATCTCGAAATGGCAAAATTCATATTCATATTTCCTTTTAACTTATCACTTGGGCTTATTTACATTTATACCCAATTGTGTGTGTATATATAGATCTTATATGTGTGTAAGGATCGAAGTTGTGTTGCATATATGTATGTATGCCTGTTTTATGACTCACTTCTTATCAAATCGTGTTAGACTTGAGTAAACCAATTTAAATTTTAAATCATTGTTTACCTAGGTGTTATTTGTCTATTTAGACAATAGACTAATCTGACATTGAAAAATCTCTCTGTTTACGGTAAATATACGCTTATCAAAAATAAATTTTCTCCAGCACAGTGGGGTCAAAATGTACAAATGTCCATAGAATGGAAATAATGTTAAGAGAACTTTTATAAAATACTTATTCCGTAGTTAGTCTCAGCGGGATAATAGATAATTGAGTGATTACCATTTGACATTTGCTTTATACTTATATTAAGAATCTTCTGTATTCTTCCCAGCGCAGCATACTTCCGATACTTTTTTATTTCCATGGTTGAAAAAAACTATCTTAGTCTCAGAGAAGTTTCTGGATAAATCTCTCACATTCTCACTTAATTTCTGATATATTACCACAAATATAGACAATTGTTTTGACAGTTTTTTTAGGGATGCTATATATTTTGCAAGGATGCTATATATTTTTCAAGGATGCTATACAGGGTGAAATGAAAAAACTGCAACCAACTTCAGACAGCTGTCATTTATAAGCCACACGTCCAGCAACTGTTAAAATTATTCCAGTGACAGCTCATTATATTGTTTACAAGCATACAAAAGCATTTTGGAGAGAATTTTCCAGAAAAAAAAGTTATTCCTGATGGAATTCAGTGGACGAAAAATGGCTCGTGAGCTGAATATAACCCAATATTCCATTCGGCAAATATTGAAAAATCAGCTCGGGATAAAAGCCACTGAAAAGAGCTTCGCTTGGCTGAAAGTGGTGAACCGCCGAATTTGGTTTTTTCCGATGAGAAAACATTCGTTGTCCAGCAGTTTCTAAACAAACAAAATGATCGTATTTACTTGCCAAAGGGGTCAGCTGTGCAAATGTGCACCTTCGGTTGACCACCAGAAAGCGCCGGCAATGGTGATCGTATTAATCGACCGTGGCATAAGAATAAATGTCGAATATTATCGCGAAAAGCAAGGCTGGCACTAAAAAATACGAAAGTGTCGACCAACTCAAGCAAGCGCTTAGCCGGAAATGGTCCAAAATATCGCAGAGCAACATTCGGGCAGCGTATGACGGTTTTATTGGCCGTTTGATGGCCATTCACCTTTGGTGACCAATTTGACCAAATCTAAATCTACTTTAACATTTGATGCTATTTCCGAAATTTTTGGCTTTCATTCAATAAAATTAAAGAAAAATGTAAAAATTATGGCGTTTGACTTTGTTGCAGTTTTCTTACCTCACCCTGTATGTTTACATTTTACAGTTTTCTCGAAAAAGTAGTAAAAAGACATTAAGTTCGAAATTCTAATACCCTTCACCATTGAGTAGAGAAAGCATTTTTATACAAAGTATCTGGATTCAAACGTGTTCCACTTTAAACTACCAAATCCAGTAAGATCGGTAGGAGAATGGTTGGAGCTGGTGCATGGGGGCCATACTGAAACGGGAGTCTAAATATACCAAATTTTACATAACTTCGTAGGTAAATGTGACTAGAATGACTAGTACCAATATGGATAATGTTTTGACGCCAGTTCTAGAACCCATTATGAAATACAGATACCAAATTTCACACAAATCTTTTAGAAAATGTGGCTTAAATCGTCAAAATACTGAATATCCGATGGAACCGTCATATGTGCGCTATAGGAAAACCTGGACCTAGATATTTCACGTTCTGCTACCGGACCTTGAACCCATTACGAACTACAAATGCGAATTTTTAGACAAATCCGTGGGAAAATGTGGCTAAAACCCTCAAAATATCGAATATCGGGAGGTACCGTTATATGGGGACTATATGAAAACGAAGACCAATGCTCTGTCACCGAAGCTGGAACCTATTAAACCAACAAATACCAATTTTTAGACAAATCCGTGAAAAAATGTGGCTAAAACAATCAAAATACCGAATATCGGGAGGTATCGTTATATGGGGGCTATTCATCAGTACGATTCTTTTATAAAAAAGCAAAGGGGCGTGGGGGGGGGGATGCAAAAATAAATTGAACTAAGTCAATACCTTTGTTCTTTTACGAAAAATCGGTGATTTATCCGATAAAAAAATTTTATAACGAGAATATTTTTGTTATCATATTTTGGAGAGAAAAAAGAATCTAGCTCCTGGTGAAATGTTACTTTTTCATTGCGCCATGGGTACAATTCAACTCAGAGTTTGGGTTTTTTTGTCGTTCTTTTAAGTTAAATTATATATAAACAAACATGTATATATATGGTACGTATATATTCGCAAAAAAATCCCACAAACCTATTTAAAACAAAAAAAAAAAACTGAGATAAGCTTCGAATGAATGGTTTAATTGGACCTATGGCATCAACGAAATGCGTAACTTTCCCAGCCAGCACCGGCAGTTTGAAGTTTGCCCACGATGCTTCACAGATAATAATGTTGACAAGAAGAACAATAATTTGTTGTCGTTGTTGTTGTTTTAATTACGGAAACAAAAACATAGACAATGCCATCGAGACAGACACCGCCGAATACGGCAGCAATAAAACATTTCATTTGACTGAAATCAGATGAAATGAAAACAGTTTTATTTTGAATCTGGTGGTGCTCACAACACAACAACAACAACAAAAAGGAAGAAGCAAGCAACGGATTTAAAAAAGAAATATAAATTAGGCAATATTTTTTTTTTCTTCTAAAAAAACTCCAAAAAATATTGCAGTATTTTTTCGCAATAAAAGTAACGAAAATTTAGTAAAGGAAATGCCGCCCAATGAAACCACAGTTCTTCTAACAAATTATCGAGAGAAACGGATGTTAAATACACCCAGGACAAAGTATGGCAGTCAAACGCAGGCAAGAGTTTTAGATGAAGTCACAGATGTGCACATAGTTAATGTTAGCAAAGATCCGGAAGAATATGAACGCATTTTCAGTTTGGAAGAGTAATTTTCACTCCATTTTTATTTCTTCAACAAATTATTGATTTATTTTATTTTTAGATATCCTTCACCTCTAACATTGGCCGAACTGTTGCCCTTCCAAGACGATCCTTGGTGGCAAAAATTTCGTCTTATTTTATTTTTTCTATTTTGGCTAATATTTCTATTCACCTTGATAACAGCCTGCCTTATAGCCTATTTGGAAGTGGATGGTACATCATGTCCTGCAATTTCGTCTTCCCCATCGCCGCCAACGCTGTTGGCATCACCAACAGCCCTAACGACCATGTCAAGTATTTTATCTTCAAAATTAGCCATAATGCCATAACGCTATGTTTGATTTTGTTTTATTTATTTGGATATGCGTCTAAAGGAAACTTAGGGCCTTATTTTAAGAAGAAACAAATAGTTGCTTCTATGAAGCAAAATTTTTATTATAAAGAAAGTGTGATATTTTTTTTAAACAAAAATATAAATAATTTCTTAAATAAATAAGATATGGCAACAAATAACAACATACCTACAGATAAATATTTTTAAATGTATTCCATATAGAAATCTAGTTTTCTCTTTCCCTCTACTGGGTACCGTAAATTAAACAACGTCGGTCCGTAAAATGTATGCAAAAAAGAAACCAGAAATCCATAAAGTAGTGGCGGAAAAAAAAGATTTGAAATGTTTGCATGGAGTTTTCTTTTTTGAGCAAATTTTATTTAGAATGCAAATGCCAGGCGGTGTCATTATATGGAGGCTACAGCAAAATGTCGAGGTACTTTTCTAGATTTTTGGGCTTAACTCTAGTTTAGTAAAAACTCTTCAATTTCTTTTAATTTGTTTCCAGTGGAAGGTATTATTACCCTGATCCCGAGAAACTATTTTTATTTTTCTTTGGGGACGGACCCGGGACCCCAGTTTTTTGACCCGTAATTTCGAGTTCAAGACCCCGACTAGACCCAGATCCACTTATCCGACATGGACAATATCGTTGGAAACCTTATGAAAATACCTATCCAACAAGTGTTCACATAATAGGGTAATTTTTAAGCGGTTCGGAAGTTATAGTCAAATTAACGATTTTTTGGACCCGGATTTTTTATAAAACCCCCAAAAGGCGAAAAAGGTCCCATTATGGGGATCAACCAAATTGATGCGAAAATATAGCTGACACTCTTTCCTTTCTAAAATGCTAAAATTTGTGCTTATACCTTTTTCCGGGTATTGTCTATAGTGGGTAAGTGGATCTGGATCCAATCCGGTCTAGAACCCGGACTTTCGGGTCTGTCCCCCAAGAAGAAAAATAGTTTCCCGGAATCAGGGTAAAATAACTGCCTTTGGTAAAAAAATCGAAGAGTTTTTACCAAACTAGAGTTGTTCCGTGGGAGCTAAACCAAAGCATTGGCCCATTACCTATCGACCCATGAGGAACTTAAAACACCAAATTGAAAACAATTCCGTAAAAAACTTGAATTAACTGTTAAATGGACAAGACCATGGTAACATTTAGAAGGCTACCTTGTGCAATCATATGTTTACAATTATTTATTTAAATTTAACTGTAACTTTTATCGATTAAAAAGTTGTTAAAGTTTTTTTTGTTATTGTTACAAAAACAAAAGAAAGGTGTGAAGTTTTTGAAAAACAAGTAAAAAGAATATAAGTTCGGTCAGTCCGAACTTTTAATTCCCTCCACCATTGGGTAAAGAAAACATTTTAATACAAAAGTTTTTGGTTTCAAATGTGTTCCACTTTAAACTTCAAATACCAGTATGACCGTTTGGATAATGCTGTTAAACATCTCAATAAACCATAAAGTGGGTGTGGCCGTTATATGAAGGCTATAGCAAAACGGGAATCTCTATAGACAATTTTATACATCAAGGATTGTCATGTACCAAATCTTCTTAAATACCAAATTTAGAATAATTTCGTTGGTAAGTGTGACTAGGATTATCAAAATACCGAATATCGGTGGGTATCGATATATGTGCACGATAGGAAGACATGGGTCTAAAAATTCAATATTCTAAAACCGGAGCTAGAGCCCATTCTAAACTACAAATACAAGTTTGTTGGACAAATCCGTGGGAAAATGTGGCAAAAATCATCAAAACACCGAATATCGGGAGGTATCGTTATATGGAACTATGTTCCGCCACCGTAGCTAGAACCCATTACTAACTACAAATACCAATTTTTAGACAAAGCAGTGGAAAAATGTGGCAAAAATCATCAGAATACTGAATATGTCTAGGTACCATTATATGAGGGCTATGTGAAGACGTAGATTCGGTCCATTTGGGCTGATATTAGCCAATTGTGGAGTGCATATTACGTATGTGCAACCAAGTCAAACGCCATAATTTTTACATTTTTTTATATTTTATTGAATAAAAGCGAAAAATGTCGGAAATAGCATCAAATTTTAAAAATAGTTTATATTCTTTCGAATTGGTCACCTTTGGCACAATTTATGGCCTTCAAACGGCCAATGATGCCCGAATGTTGGTCTGCGGTATTTTGGCCCATGCTCGGCGAAGCGCTTGCTTGAGGCGATCGACACTTAGGTATTTTTTAGTGCCAACCTAGCTTTGCAAAATACTCCAGACACAATAGTCCAACGGATTGGTATCCGGAGATTTTGGTGACAATAAAGTGAGGAACCTCATTTTGTAACCATTCTTGGGTGGCGCCAGCTGAGTGCGATGGTGCTGAGTTGGAATCTCCAAGGTCTGCGGCCAAAATGTTTGCGTGCCCAAGGCTTTAATATACCCTCCAGAATATTTCGCGATGATATTAGACATTTATTCTGATGGTCGGTTAATACGAGCGGAGAGCGACCATCGGCTGTTATGGCGGCCCACACCATCGCCATGGCCGGCGATTGAGTTCCGGTGGCCAACCGACAGCTGACCTCTTTGGCAAATGGCTTTACCCCGAGCTCATTTTTCAATATTTGCCGAATGGAATATTGCGTTATATTCAACTCACATTTAAATGATGAAGTGCTCTAACGATAGCCACTTTTGGTTTCCAGCCAAATATAAAGAAATCACACTATCACGCTTGAATTACATCACGAATAATTTTTTCTGAAAAATTTTGTACGCTTGTAAACAATATAATGACCTTTCACTGGAATAATTTTAACATATGTCGGACGAGTGGCTTAGAAATGAATATATATACAATATTGTTTCGAACATTTCATCTCAATCGGACAACAAATGAGACCTGCATTTTCTTCACAAAAGTACATTGACTGACATGCATAAATCGACTCAGAAAGTGATTCTATGAAGATCCTCAGAAGTAACAATAGGTATATATCACATCCTTCTCCATTTTACACACAAATGCACAAAGACATAATACCTTTACCACTATGTGGCGTAAGGTATAAAAAATATCAAACGATCAATAATAATTGCATATGACGCAATAAGTTTTATTGATACAAATGTCCTATTTCTGTGAAAATAGTGTTCCAAATTTTGACTCGTAAGTATATGTTTTATGAGCAAAGAGTTCGTTGAATTTCTTTACGATATTCATTTCCTTGTCTGACCAAGCCTGAATTGCTGGGAAATATGTCTGTAAGTAATTCAGTAATTCCATCAATGTTTGTTTAGCGATAAGAACATCTGAGAGAGCTACCTTGAGTTTTTTCTTTTATTTACATTCTTTTTTTTTTGTGCAATATGTCAGTGGGACTTAAACATGAGCCGGATAATAGCGCTTTTCGGTCCTTGACCTTTGTAACAAAACAAACAATATATGTTTTTATTTAGAAGACATGGAAGCTTTCAGACACGATTTCAAGAGACACCACGTTAGATAATATATTCGTATATTTCATTTTTCCTAAAATTGCAAAATGTAGAATACTTTATGTATGCTGTTTTGTTTCAACTTGAAAGGGATGTTGCCTTTTCCACGATTTTCTAGCGAAGTGTTGAGAGATTAGGACCAACAGCTAACAACTCTACATTCAGGGGAATGATGTGAAAACATTAAAATTAAATATTTTAAGAACAATTCTTCTGCATTTTCAATTTTATAATCCAAATTCCAAAAATGTATATTTTTATACCCTCCACCTTGGAAAGGAGGGTATATTAACTTTTTCATTCCGTTTGTAACATCCTTAAATATTTGTCTTAGACCCCATAAAGTATATATATTCATAATCAGCATAAAATTCTAAGTCGGTTTAACGATGTCCGTCTGTCTGTCTGTCTGTCTGTCCGTCTGTCTGTCCGTCTGTCTGTCCGTCTGTCTGTCCGTCTGTCTGTTGAAATCACGATACAGCCCACATTATTTGACGTAGAGCGCCAAAATTTAGCAGAGCTATTTGTATTGTGTCTAGGATGCTTGGTATTGAAAGTGAGATATATCGGTCCACGTTCTGGTATAGGCCCCATATAACGGTACCTTCCGATATTCGGTATTTTGATGATTTATGCCACATTTTTTCACGGATTTGTCTGGAAATTGCTATTTGTAGGTCATAACGGGTCCCTGAGCGTGTGGCAAAACATTGCATGTATAGGTCAACGTTGTGGTATAGCCCCCATATAAAGGTACCTCCCGATATTCGATATTTCAGTTTTTTTGCCACATTTTTTCACGGATTTGTCTGAAAATTGTTATTTGTTGGTCATAATGGGTTCCAGCTTCGGTGGCGAAACATTTCATGCATGGGTCCATGATTTGATATAGCCCCCATATAACGGTACCTCCCGATATTCGGTATTTTGATAGTTTCTGCCATATTTTTCACTGATTTGTCTAAAAATTGGTATTTGTGGGTCATAATGGGTCCTAGTTCGTGTGGCGAAACATTGTAATTATAGGTTCACGTTTTGGTGTAGCCCCCATATAACGGTACCTCCCAATATTCGGCATTTTAATGGTTTTTGCCACATTTCTTCTAATGTTTCTTTTACCCTAAGGTGGAGGGTATTAAAAGTTTGGCCCGGCCGAACTTAATGTTTTTTTATTTGTTAAAATTAATATAATTTATTGAAAATTAATTATTTCGTTTACATTTTTGGACACCGAACTCTGACACTGGTATTACGTACAAAAACAAATTTGTATGTGGTTGTTGTTACGATTGTTGCACAACAACACTTGCTGTTACCTGTAGAAAATCTCAAGATTTTCAATGCATTTTTATATAAAACATGTCCTCAACTATTTCCTTCCCCCATGCCGCTGCCCATTGCCAAGCCTGTGAAAATAAAACAAAACATGCCATGGTAATAAACTTGATTTTGTATTTGTATCAAAAAAAAAAAAAACAATAATAATGACCAGTTTGACATTACTAAGAACCATTTAAAATATTAATTAATCGGTATTGTCTACTTTACTTCCCAAAACCACAAAAACATAAATTACTTCTAAGTGGGCTTATTTAAATCTGTAGCTAACGACAACGAATCGTTCGCTTCTATCGTTACATTTGATTCGGGTGTCAAAACTCGTACTGCGGTCAGAGATGAACTAAAATGAGCCGAATGCCATTTGGCCGGTTGTTCGCTTTCATTCCATGGACTAAAGTCGAAATCTTTCAAATCCTTACAAGGTATCAATAGATTTGGTTCATCTTTGCGATGTTCCATAACATATTTACGAATCTCTTCGATACCATCCGAATTACGGCATATGATTTGCGATAGCGTCGTATTGTAGATGGCACGTAGTTGGTCTGAAAGAAAATAATTGTTTAAATAAATAAAAAAATAACTTCCCACTTTTAGTTTCATCAGCCCAACTGTTCCAATTTAGTCTAGGGTTTTAAATAATACGGAAATAGAGCTACTTACCTTTCGTAAAACGCTGCGGCCCGACCTTTCGTTCGTACCAAAATGAATCGCCCTGTTTTAAGCGCAAAAACTGATCAGACACCATGCAAGCTAATAGTGGACCAAATATTGCTCCTTCCAATGGGGGTTCACTTAGCGCACCCGTATACACATCAACATCGTGAGGGGAACTGTGAGCAAAAGAATGAAAAATGTTTTTTTTTTTTTTTTCTTAAAACAAAAATACAAAAAAAGATCTTCTAGAGTTAAAAAGTAACTTTAAGCTGAAAACTCCTAGAGGAAGAGAGATTCTGCGTAAAGAAGACTAGAAGAAGGAGAGACACCTTTCAAAATTTCACAAAAACGTTTTCTGCATTGAGATCAGCGTACAAAACAAACAAAAAGAAAACGAGCCGCTCACACAAAATCACAAAGTATAATTATTTGATGTTCGATAACAATGCACTAAGGTGTTGACATACCTGCGTTTTAGATAAGTGCATTTCATTGCCACATTAGTGTTACCATATACTTAGTACGGAAATCATTAGAATGTATTTGGAGTATCTATTGTTCGTGTTCGTGTTCGTGTTTTTTTTTTTTTTTTTTTTTTTTTTTTTTTTTTGACGATCATAAACAAAAACCAGTAAAGAAAGACTTAAAGTCGGGTGGTGCCGACTTTATGATACCCTACACCACTTTGCTAATTTAGTAGAGCTGCGCATAACAATTAAAAGTTTTTATGGGAGAAGTCAATCATACAAGCTCTGATTATAATTATAATTTAAAGTTCAAAGGACTAAATATGCCGGAACATTTGTATCTTTTAAATTCGGACTTGTATTGCCCATTTGGTGCACAATTAATTTGAAATCGGATAAAAATATATATGGGAGCTATATCCAAATCTGAACCGATCTCGATAAAATTGGGCAAAGATATTTCTGAGCTTTATTTGATATATTTCCCTGAATATCGTTGTTACGGAGTGCATATTACGGCTGTGGGTAACAAATATGATAAATCGGATGAACAGTATATATGGGAGCTATAGCTATATCTTAACCGATCTCCAACAAATTTGACATACTAGTTTCTAGACTCAGTTCGGTTGTAAGTGCCAAATTTCATACAATTTGGGCAAATCTTATACCTTTGGTGCACAATCAAAGGTAAATCGGACGAAGTTATATATATGAGCTATATATCTAAATCTGAACCGATCTCGATAAAATTTAGCAAATGTATTTCTGAGCTGTATTTGATATATTTCCCTAAATATTGTTGTTACAGAGTGCATATTACGGCTGCGGAGGACAAAAATAACAAATCGGATGAACCATATATAAGGGAGCTATAGCCATATCTGAACCGATTTCGATCAAATTTGGCATACTTATTTTCAGGTCCAATCTGATAGTACGTGCAAAGTTCCATACTATTCGGACTGATATTACACATTTGGTGCACAATAAAAGGCAAATCGGACGAAGATATATATGGGAGCTATATCTAAATTTTGACCAATTATCTCCAATTTCAATAGGGTTCGTCCTTGGGCCAAACAAATGATTTGTGCAAAAATTCATCTGGATAGGGCAATAAATGCGAACTGTACTTTGTTTAGAAAAATACATGGACAGACGGACGGACGGACATGCATAAATCGACTCAGATGTGTCTATCTCGTTTCCTTTTGCCTGTTACAAACAAATGCACAAAGACATAATACCCTGACCACCTTGTGGTGTAGGGTATAATCATAAATGTCGCCTATATCAAGTAAACGCGTGGTGAAATGTACTACGTCGGGTTTACTCGGCATAATTTTGAAGCAATCATTGATAAGACTGTGGTTATTTCCACTCTTTAGGGTTTTAATATCAGACAAGTACAGAAATATCTTCGTTAAAATGGATTTTGAACAATTCATTCAACATCAAATTATAATTTAATCTGAGCAAAGTGTGGCAGGAGAAATTGAAAAGAAATGTTTAGGTTTAGCAGATTCCTTCATATAAGCAAGCAGCGAATTATTGGACAATGAGGGTAAGCTCCATGGAAAAGGTCCGTACGAACTTTAAACGAGATATGGTTATGCATGGTATATTTGTCCCCATATTAGCTCCAGAGTAGTAGCTATTAGGCTATTAGAGTAATAGCTATGTTGAACAGCTTTAGTTCAATAGAAATGTTCACAACTAGTGGCACAATCCTTCTATCGAGAACTACAATAAATTATCCCCTTAATAACCAGAGTTGTTCCTTAGATGAGTTGAAGGAAGAGATAGAGAATGCTATTCTTCAAAATTCAAAATATATATCGAAACAAAGACTAGATGTTTAAACTATCTTCTAAATTACCAGCGTATAGTCATCTTGCAAAAAGTTTTCATTTTCTAGATATTTGTTTTAAATAGCTGGCTATAAAGTAAAAACCAGTAAAAAGTCGGGCGGGCCGACTTTATGATACCCTACACCACTTTACTAATTTAGTAGAGCTCCGCATAACAATTAAAAGATTTTATGGTTATATTTATAATTTAAAGTTCAAGGGACTAAATATGCCGAAGCATTTGTATCTTTTAAATTCGGACTTGTATTGCCCATTTGGTGCTCAATTAATTTGAAATCGGATAAATATATAGGAGCTATATCCAAAATGAAAGCGATCTCGACATAATTTAGCAAATATATTTTTGAGCTGTATTTGATATATTTCCCTGAATATCGTTGTTACGGAGTGTAAAATACGGCTGGGGGTAACAAATATACCAATCGGATGAACAGTATATATGAGAGCTATAGCTATATCTGGACCGATCTTTACCAAATTTGAGATACTAGCTTCTAGAGTCAATTCGGTCGTAAGTGCCAAATTCCATCCCATTTGGACAAATATTAGACGTTTGGTGCACAATAAAAGGTAAATCGTACGAAGTTATATATAGGAGCTATAACCAAATCTGAACCTATCTCGATAAAATTTAGCAAATGTATTTCCGAGCTGTATTTGGTATATTTTCCCAAATATTGTTGTTACAGAGTGCATATTATGGCTGCGGAGGCCAAAAATAACAAATCGGATGAACAGTATATATGGGAGCTATAGCTATATCTGAACCGATTTCGATCAAATTTGGCATACTTATTTTCAAGTCCAATCTGATCGTACGTGCAAAATTCCATATTATTCGGACTGATATTACACGTTTGGTGCACAATAAAAGGCAAATCGGACGAAGATATATATGGGAGCTATATCTAAATTTTGACCAAAACAAATGATTCGTGCAAAATTTCATCTGGATAGGGCAATAAACAAGTGTCAACAAGAAGAAGTGCTGCCGACACGGAATAAAAATAATGCATGCAGAAAAAAGTGCAACAGATGCAAGAATCATTGGCATTTCCAGACTGGGAAGAATCTATAACGAAGATTGGTGACGAAAAACTGTATGACCGTAGTGAAACGGCCGAGAATACTAAACCGATGACAGATGTCACTGATGTCCAAAAGGCACCCGTGAATGAAGATGTACCGCTGTCAAAAAAAGAGAAATCCGAAAATGAAACGTTTTACAGGGTGAGATGAAATAACTGCTACCATCTTCAGACTGCTGTCATTTTGAAGCCACTCGTCCGACAGCTGTTAAAATTATTCCAGTGATAGCTCATTATGTTGTTTACAAGCGTACAAAAGATTTTGGTGAGAATTCTCCAAAAAAAAGTTATTCGTGATGGAATTCAAGCGTGATAGTGTGATTTCTTTATATATTTAGCTGCAAAACCGCATGTGGCTATCGTTAGAGCACTCCAGCATTTAAATATGAACAAATCTTTTGTGTCTCATACCATCGCTCGTTACCGTGATACTGGTAGCGTAGTCCGACGTCAAGGAAGTGGATGGAAGAAAACAGCTAGTAAATAAGCGACTTGATCGAAACCCGCAATATTGAAAAATGAGCTCGGGGTAAAGCCATTGAATTTTCAAAAAGTGTCAGAACTTACACCGCAACAGAAAGAAAATAGACTCAAAAGAGCTAAAGAGTTGCTTCGCTTGGTCGAAAGTGGTGAACTGCTGAATTTTGTTTTCTGCGATGAGAAAACATTCGTTGGCCAGCTGTTTATAAACAAACAAAATTATCGTTTTTATTTGCCAAAGAGGTCAGCTGAAAATGTGCACCTTCGGTTGGCCACCAGAACTCAAGCGCAGGCCATGGTGATGGTGTGGGACGCCATAACAGCCGATATTCGTTCTCCGCTCGTATTAATCGACTGTGGCATCAGAATAAATGAATAAATATGAATATTATCGCGAAAATATTCTGGAGGGTCTATTAAAGCTTTGGGCACGCAAACATTTTTTCCGCAGACCTTGGACATTCCAACAGGACTCAACACCATCGCACTCTGCACGCGCCACCCAAGAATGGTTACAAAATGAGGTTCCTCGCTTCATTTCCAGCCCACAATTTCCACCAAAATCTCCGGATACCAATACGTTTGACTATTGAGTCTGGAATATTTTGGAAAGCAAAGTTGGCACTAAAAGATCGATCACCTCAAGAAATCGCTTCGCCGAGAATGGGCCAAAAATACCGCAGAGCAACATTCGGGCAGCGTGTGACGGTTTCATTGGCCGTTTGAAGGCCATAATTCGTGCCAATGGTGACCAATTCGAACAAATCTAAACTTATTTTAAAATTTGAAGCTATTTCCGACATATTTTGCTTTCATTCAATAAAATTAAAAACAAATTTTATATATTATGGCGTTTGACTTTGTTGCAGTTTTTTTTTTTATCTCATCCTACATAACGAAGATTGGTGCCGCAAATTGAATGGCCGAAGTAAAACGGCAGATAATACTAAACCGATGACAGATGTCTCTGGTACGGTGTTTGGTGAAAAGATAACTGTCCAGATGTCCAAAAGGCACCCGTTGATGAAGATGTGCCGCTGTCAAAAAAAAAGAGAAATGTGAAAATGAAAGGTTCTATATCCAGATAATACCGGTTAAAAAATCCACATCAGCTGCTTTGGAAATAGAAACGACTTCACCCACCAATAAAAAGAAAGACGAAGAAGGAAAGCATGAAAACGGTTTCAAATGGAATACGCAGGAGCACATATACCCCTCCTTACGAACGTTTGTCCAGCGAAGTTCATTTCTACTATGGCTGCAAATAGCATATTTTGGCTTCAGTGCTTTAGAAATTAATTATAAAGTAAGATATACATTTGTAACATTTCAATCAATTTCTCGCATTAAAAAATATGCCTATACATGATTATTAAAAGACAGGTCTACATCTCCCAAAATAAAACGAATGCTTCGAATATCAAAGAGGTCATTTTGAAAGTCTTAACCTAATTTGCAATTTCGGCTACTAAGTAATTTATTTAATTAACCCATCGCTATACAGACAGTGTGACACAAGATGAGATATTTCAAAGTCACTTCGATGGCGAGTATATATTTCAAAAGCTCTTTTATGGAGAGAAGGCTTTCAATTTCTATTGAGAAAAGGAAAAGGAGGACAGAAGCTCTTCTATGGAGTAAGGTAGAGAGAGGTCTTGTCAATAGGTCTTCTATGGAGCGACGACCTTCCATAATGTATGAAATAGCAAAAAAAAATTCTATAGAGAGAATACCTTTTCCTTATTGAAGAAAATCTCTCAAAATGTCATGGATTATGCATATTTGAATAGTATCCTATCAAAGGGACCCCAAATTTTTTTCCATGATGTATTTCATAGCTTTCAAAATATTATATAGGGATTTGATAGGTATCTAGAAGACACATATACTTTTTTTTCCTATACTTCCTGTCAACAACAGCTTCCATATTTGAAAGCAATTTAAATTATTTCCTATGGAAAAGAAGACCATACAGAGAAGAGCCTTCTATAGAAAAAATATATTGGGCCAGAAATTATGTTAGTGTATGATATTTACTTTATTTAAAAGCATTGCTTTAATAATCCCGATAAATGGTAATGGTAAAGACCCTTTCGTCTTTGGACGACACCTTGCAAGATTTTCTCTGTATGCGACCTCTTGAAGAGAACTTCAACATATATGAAACTTCTCGACCCTCTCTTCTCTCACAGCATCTCAAAATTCCCACTTACGCATAAATTCCCTTTATGGAAGCCAACGAATCTGAATCCACAGCATCGGCCATTTGTTTCCAGGTATCGACTGGCGGTAGATTGCAATGTTTCCGATAGACAGGATATGATGGTAGACCATGATCCCGACCACGTTGTATATTCAATGAGACCAAATCCAAACCACATATTGGTACCGTATCCTCCGATGTACCTTCGAATAGTTTTTGAGACATTTCCGTTGAGAAGAAACGATCGACTCGTTGAACTGGAGTATTACTGGCTACGAGCATTGCTCGATCAATGCCACCATTGGACCACAAAGAAAAAGGATTGAAAAGCATTTTGTGCAGTTCAATTGATTCTGGGTCACTGTAATTCTTGGTGATGTTGAAGAGACCCTAGTAGAAGAGATTATCATTACAAAATTGTTTTGATGCATCAAACCACTTACCGGTAACAGCGTGTGGGCAAAACGGAACGCAGCAGCGGCAAAACCATTGGCTATGGAAGGATTGACATTTCGGTCATAGGCATCGGGAGCATCCAGATCGTCCATTTGTGGCAGTAAACCTTTCTTCTCCGCCAACTCCCTACCCAATAGAATAGGTAAGAATTCATTATAGGTTATGTGAGCCATTTGTGCAGCCAATATCCGACGACTCTCCTGAAACAGCATCTCATCATTCCAATTGGGATTTTCATTTTGCAAGCCTTGGGCCAAGTAGTTATGGTGTCGGGCCCACAACAAATGCATTGAGGTCAGAAGTAAGTTTTCATTGGCTCGATCATCGCCAGATTCAAAACAGTATCTTCCCTGACGGATTTTACTGGCCCGATTACAGCCGTCTTCCAAATTTGTGGAGATCGGCAACAATTCCCGACCATCAGCCGTCATGTACATTCTTAGAGTACCATTGACCATGGCCCTTAAATTATTTTGCCGTAAATCGGAATTACCATAAACCACAGATCCGTCAATAAACGATGTGGCCTGGTTAAGCTGTTGTCTTGGCCCAAAATGACCCGTTGGGGAGGGAGCTGATCGCACAAAGTTCATACACGTCAAATTATATTTCGAATAATAAATATCATCTCGCAAGACTGTCACCGGAAAACATTCCGGATGCACAGTACTGTTGAAATTCGTAATACAGCAATTAATCGACTCTCCCTCCTGCGAGGAGGTCAGTGATGTGGCCGTAATGTCGTGATCCAAGAATTGTCCGAATACTGCCAACATAACGGTGAAATTCGAATCTGTTTCATACGACGAGCGATATATTTTGGCGGATACTTCTCGGGCTGGTGGCAGGCGGGTCGTTCCATTGTGTTGTACTCCTCTTGGCAGGCCTATGCCATCCTCATAATCTGGATTAACCATTCGGCGATAGGATATCAACGAGGCACCATAATGTCGTGGATGATTTTTATTATTGCAGATTCCACTTGGCCGACGATATTTGGCATTAAAATCACATTTGATATTTGATGTGGGATCCGGCAAGATAATTTTGGGACCACGGCCAATATCTGACCTACCAGGTCGCTTGGTATAGTTAAATCTTCGGGCAATGCTCAACGTTGCCGAATTCTCGACGAAACCTCTGCGTGCCAATTTTCTCGACTGCGGATTGGTGCTTAACGAACGATAATGACGAAATGCCGGCGAATTGACCGGTGTTGGCTCCAGACCCTCCTCTAATAACTCCCGATCACCCAAAGCTTTAATGCCCTCTCCGATAGCCCAATCGCTAACCGACTGATTCAAATGTAGTTTCCGTAAAGCCCACTCACTTTCAGGTTCGTCGGGTATTGGTGATGTTATCGACTCCAATCGTTCCAGTGTGTCATTTGCAGTGGATATTGAGTGGTTCCGCGATGATGTGGAATTTGTCGCCAGGAAAACATAGGGTGTTGAGTATCTGTCATTGAGTACTAAAACAAGTACCAATGCAGCAATGAGTATAATTCTGAAAATGGGAATAAAGACTGTGTTCAGAAATACATATTCATCATATATTGATCTACAGAAATGATAATGATCTATTGAGAGGAGATTAAACTAGATTAGGTTAGAGGAAGTGCTGTTACAATTGAGATTGTAAGTACCCAACTCGGAACCTTTCGGTCCATTGTGATCATCCAACATTAAGAAAATAGAAGATTTAAAAAGGATAGAGGGTGAATAATCTTTGCAGAGAGAAGTAGAAGGGATGGAGAAAAAAAGTACCGAAAAGGGTAGTGATTAAACCCTGGTGCCAGAGACAGTAAAGCCTTTTTGCGAAATTATAGATGACAAAGGAATCCACATCTGAATGCATCTCAGTCAAGAGTCGAATGTTCCCCCAAAGCTCGTAGTCTTTCCCTTGATAGAGTGGCAAAAAAGGTATTCGAGCGTTTCAATCATCATTTGGGCGTTATTGATCCGATGTTGCAGCGACCTATCCCTATCAATTCATCGGCTTTTCATTAGATATTCAACAAAGCGCGGATAATAGTGTGTAGATCTCCCAGGGCTGTTCCCGAATGTTGCTCTGCGGTATTTTGGTCCATTCCCGTCAAAGCGCTTGCTTTCCAAAATACTCCAGACACAATAGTCCAAAGGATTGGTATCCGGAGAATTTGGTGGCCATTGTGAGCTGGAAATGAAGTAAGAACCTCATTTTGTAACCATTCTTGGGTGGCACGTGCTGAGTGCGATGGTGCTGAGTCCTGTTGGAATGTTCAAGGTCAGCGGCCAAAATGTTTGCGTGCCCAAGGCTTTAATACACCCTCCAGAATATTTTCGCGATAATATTCGGCTTTTATTCTGATGCAACGGTCGATTAATACGAGTGGAGAGCGACCATCGGCTGTTATGGCGACCATCGGGCCATGACCATGGCCGGCGCTAGAGTTCTGGTGGCCAACCGAAGGTGCACATTTTCAGCTGACATCTTTGGCAAGTAAACACGATCATTTTGTTTGTTTACAAACTGCTGTATAACGAATGTTTTCTGATCGGAGAAAACCTAATTCGGCAATTCACCACTTTCGGCCAAGCAAAGCAACTCTTTAGCTCTTGTGAGTCTATTTTCTTCCCGTTGCGATGTAAGTTCTTGATTTTTTTGGAATTTCAATGGCTTTACCCTGAACTCATTTCAATATTTGCCATTTTTCGGCCACTGCGACGCGGGTTTTGATCAAGTCGCTTCTTTACTTTTCGAACCATTTCTGCTGATATTGCTGTTTTATTCCGTCCACTTCAAGGTTATATATAGCTTTTCCATGTTTATTTCAATAAAACTGACCGCATCATGAAGAGCCGTTTCAACAGATTTTCCTTTTATATATGCCTCTTGCGAGTTGCTCACCAGTGAATAATCTAGCTATCAGTCTTTCGCTAGGGTCTTAAGAAGATCCAAAGTAGTTTGACTTGGATTTCCAGCTTTAGGTATATAAGTCACTGCGACCTCTCTCCATAGACGAAGTATATATGAGTGATGCAAACTGGCCGTATATATCGTTTCCAGAGTATTGTATACAAGCGATGATGAATTCTTTATCATAGCTGGTAGAACATCTGGATCGGCGATTTGTAAGGCTGAAAGATGCGAATCGCCCACTCGAGCTTTTGCCTGGTTATTCGCTTATGTAGGAGACTGTCATCACACTCCGATCGGAGTGGTATGGAATTGCTCCAACTACAACTAGTTCCGATGTGGAAGATACCAATCGCCCGCTTGAACTTTTTCCTGGTTATAAGCCTATCTAGGAGACTGGTATACCCTCTGATCTGTGTGGGATAATGTTGCTACAACGCGTTCTGATACCTTTACAGTTGGGAAATGCGGTCTCACTAGGAGGTCCGTAGAGTTAAGACTAGAGTCTGTCCTGCGCCATGTTTTTTTTTTACGATACCAATTGGCTTCGAGTCCTTTGACAATACCTTGCGAAACCAGATTGCTGTGTTGACTCCTTCTATCGTCTCACAGAATTTTACCCATGAACTCATCTTAGCTCATATATTTTCTCCTTTATGTTGTTTTCCTAAGGACATTGATCTCTTTTTATCCATAGAAGAATCAGGAGACCCATTTAAAGATAATGTTTATATCTGTACGTCCTCTATCTTGAAAAGAAGGGTATATTAACTTCGTCAATTCTAAATATACTCCATTAAAAAAAAAAAAAAAAAAAAAAAAAAAAAATATATATATATATATATATATACATATTTTTTTTTTTTATCCACATTTTTCCATATATATTCATGATCAGCATAAAATTCTAAGCCGGTTAAACGATGTCCGTCTATCTATTGAAATCACGATATAGCCCACATTATTTGTCGTAGAGCTTCAAAACTATTACAACTATTTGTATTTTGTGTAGGATAATTGGTATTGAAAATGAATTAGATCGGTCCACGTTTTGGTATAGCCCCCAAATAACGGTACCTCCCGATATTCGGAATTTTTTATCGCCACATTTTTCCATGGATTTGTCTAAAAAATTATATTTGTAATATATTTGTAATTTGTATATGTAGGATAGCGTTTTCGTATAGCCCCCATATAACGGTACCTCCCGATATTCGGTATTTTGATTATTTTTGCCACATTTTTCTCGGATTTCTCTAAAAATTGGTATTTGTAGCTCATAATGAGTCCCAGCTCCGGTGGCGGAGCATTGTATATATAGGGTGAGATGAAAAAACTGCAACCAACTTCAGATTGCTGTCATTTGTAAGCCACTCGTCCGACAACTGTTAAAATTATTCCAGTGATACCTCATTATATCGCTTACAAGCGTACAAAAGCATTTTGGTGGGAATTTTCCAGAAAAAAAGTTTTTCGTGATGGACTTCAAGGGCGATAGTGTGATTTCTTTATATTTGGCTCGTGAGCTGAACATATCGCTATACTCCATTCGGAAAATATTGAAAAATGAGTTCGGGGTAAAGCTATTGAAATTTCAAAAAGTGTCAGAACTTACACCGCAACTTTAAGAAAATAGACTCAAAAGAGGTAAAGTGTGGCTACGCTTGACCGAAAGTGCTGAACTGCCGAATTTGGTTTTCTCCGATGAGATAACATTAGGTGTCCAGCAGTTTGTATACAAACAAAATGATCGTGTTTACTTGCCATAGAGGTCAGCTGAAAATGTGCACTTTCTGAAAAATGTGCAGAACTCAAGCGCCGGCCATGGTGATGGCGTGGACCGCCATAACAGCCGATGGCCGCTCTCCGCTCGTATTAATCGACCGTGGCATCAGAATAAAAGCCAAATATTATCGCGAAAATATTCTGGAGGGTGTATTAAAGCTTTGGGCACGCAAACATTTTGGCCGCAGGCTTTGGACATTCCAACAGGACTCAGCACGCGCCACCCAAGAATGGTTACAAAAGAGGTTCTTCGCTTCATTTCCAGCGCACAATAGACAAAGGTGACCAATTCGAACAAATCTAAACTTATTTTAAAATTTGATGCTATTTCCGACATTTTTTGCTTTCATTCAATAAAATTAAAAAAAATGTAAATGTCGTTTGACTTTGTTGCAGTATTTTATCTCACCCTGTCTATTATATTTTAGAGTTTCATTCACCCAATACTAAATTTAGTTGTATTTAGCACATTTCGTACAATTATGGCACACATTTCGGAAACCACCTCCATATCTCAATTCCACGTACCAACAGACACGTCAATATCAAATTTGAGGATCCCAGCCCTATCCCTTTATATTTAGTACCAAAGGACACATTTCCAAATCACCGACTAATCTCAAACACACAACCATCAGTAATCTAAATATCGAATTTCAAAATTTTAACATCCAATATACCAAATATAGTACTGTACAAAATACTTTGTACATACTTTTGAGTGCGATTGAGGCGCTGGGAAAATGTAGCAATAAAAAATAAATGTTCTAAAATTAATTATTTCCAAGCCGCCATAAAATATCACATGTGAAGAATTCAGTGATCTTGTGCGCTGACGCATACGATAATGTGTGAGATAATAAAGGTTATGACCCACAGGCACAGATATTGATGCGTTCAGTAGATGCACAAGACCACTTGAATGATATGTCAAGCAGCCCTGCAATGTTCTCCATTCAATATTAGAATAGATAAGAACAATTGTGTGGCTGCGACTAGGTTAAGTTAGATTAGTTTCAGTAGTACGTAAGGAACATATTTTAGAAATAAAATTAGAATTGAATCAACAGCCAAACCATTCGGTTGGTTTTCTCTTCTCATTCATTGGTCCTCCGAAAAATAAAGAATCGACGACCTAAAATAAAATTGGTTTGAGTTATCCCCCACCAGTGGTAAGAAACTCAGAAAAGCCAAAAAAGAAGTAGCTGTTCTTCAAAAAGGAGGAGAACTGCTACCAAAAAGTCCGCTGAGACATTTTAAATGTAAGACCGTAGGGCATTTTAAAAGATAGTCGAAGCCATGGTACAATGAAGAGAAGGTAGGTCAACTTTGAAAAAATTGCAAGTATAGAGGTCTACCTGTTTGGCTTGTAATGTCAGAATTACTATCAAAACAATAAAAAAGCAAACAACTTGTTGCATTGATTTTGAATAAATAATTTAAAACCGCGAAAACTGAATGAATGGTCAAAATTTCTTTTCAATATCATGTTCTATATATCTCTTACGGTTTATTTCGCGACAAAAACTGTAGATTTTGTCGATGCATTCGTTGCAATAAGCATTTTGAAAACACCCGAATTTGAATATTTTCTGAACAATTTTTTATTATTGAAAAGAAGACACACACATAAGCAAATGAAGTTGACATATTAAGCCAGAAAAATAAAAAAAAATTAAATCATATGGTAGTTCTGCCCTACCTTGAATTCATTGTACCATGGTCGAAGCGACAAAATTATATGAAAAAGCCATAGTGCAAAAATAAAAAAGCCATAAAGGCAAAAATAAAAAAAGACCCAACGGGCAAAAATTACAAAGTAC